TTTAGTAATGTGTTTCTTCATTTTTTTTAAATTACTTATACACGCATTCAAAATTTCAGCTAAATCGGAAAAATAGTTTATAAGAATATAGTGTCTAATGTCGTATAGATAATGAATGGTACGGAACCCTTCGTGCGCGAGTCCGACTCACATTTGACCAATTTTTTTTATACATTACCCCATTAGTGCATCTTCTTCAGCTACATCCACTTTGATTTTTGGAACTGTATAAGGAGTTTGCACAGACATATTGAACTTTCACAAAAATACAAACAACTTTACTAATAAACACTTTACAGTTCTAGGAGCACTGACAGTTACCGGCTTTTTTCCACAATATTCCCACTTTTTATTACCCTAGTCCATTTTGTAAAAAAATAAAATACTAATTAAAAGATTAAAAATCACCACGAGTTTATAGTATCTCTTCTTACGTCGTATATCAAACGTCACATTTCTATTAATTATTTTATTGATACCTGCTTAAATTAATCGCGACTTTAATCTTATCTGGAATTGTTAAAAGTCGAGATTGCATTGCGTAGACTGAAGTGTGCCGAATTATATACAGGGTGTTCAAGATTTTTCACCTTTTAGTCCTTCTCACGAACTTTGTCCAATATAGCGAAACACCATCCGTCAAATCAATTAAAAATTAATTTGGTTTGGTTTGGATGGTTGGAATTAGTATCTTTAAAAATTTTCATGTAAATTGCAATATACTTATGTATTTTTTTTAAAATTTGCAAGCCATTTATCAACTATCTAGAAATATTTAAATTGGTTTAATTATCTTTGAAAACTTGTTTTCAGAGATAGTGCGATACCTGCATGCTTACGTGTTGGGGGTAGTAAAAAACTTTAAATGTAGAGTTTGTAAGGTTTTACCTGAACCCCCAGCAAGTGAAAAAAGAGGATCTGAAAGTTTAGAAAAATCTATAACTTTCCTTTTTTTAATGGAACACCATGTACAGGGTGGCGCCTCTCATACGCCGCGGAGGCTCCAAGGAGAACGGCAGTTTGTATTGAAATGAGATGTTGTAAGTATATATAGGTTATTTAGAGCATTTTTTTTAATATAAATATTTTTTTTAAATATAGTTGTTTTTTTTTAATGGGACACCCTATATATTAATAGATTTTTGGATTCTGGGAGAAAAATAAAGGTGTGTTTCATTAGAGAAGTATATGACTAAAATATAAGGTTTTTGACATATTTATCATTTTCTAAAAATGAAGAACAAATTTAAAATTTCAATAAAAGCTACCTAAATTGGAATTTACCCGGTATAGTCTAATATAATCCATTATTTAACTATTGTACTTTAAATGAAATTAAAACTTGACCCAAAAAGTTATACAGGGTGAGACAAAATTAATATTGAACACTGGTTACCTTTAAAAGCAAGTTGCTCTTTTATTTTAAATGGAACCAGTTGGAACCAAGTATATTATTCAATAATATTGTCAATATTTTGGATTATTGACAATATTATTGAGCGTTTGAGCGTACATATTGAAGTACTTCCAATATATTGATGGATTTTCTTTTTGATATCCATTTTTTTATCCAACGCCTTTTCATAAATTTTTTCCTCGATTTTTTCTCACTTACATATGCCAAAATGATGGAAATACACGCTTTTTTTATCTTTTATTTTTGTTGTAGAATAAACTTCTAATGAAACTCACCTTCATTTTTCTCCTAGAATCCGAAAATCAATTAATATATAGGGTGTTCCATTACAAAAAACACAACTTTGATGTGTAACTTTTTTTGTGGACACCCTGTAGAACTCTCTATATTTTTAAAAACTGCTCTAAATTAACCTACATATGCTCACAAAATTTTATTTCAATACAAACTGTCGTTCTCCTGGTAGCCTCCGCAGCGTATGAGAGGCTCCACCCTGTATATTTTTTGTAAGATATTTTTACTCCGATTTCAAATATAAATAGTTTGTTTATATTTGCGTGAACATTCAATAATCGTTGAGGCATATATGACAAATTATACGATATACAGGGTGACCCATTAGGGTGAGGACTTTTACTACTGCACTAAATATCCCTGAAAACCCTGTGTACGAAATCAACACAAACTTTTAACAAATGTTTTACACAAAAATCTTTTTAATTCGTTTTTTTTTAATAGTCTCATCACACACTTTTTTTGATATATTATATATCGCGTTTCAGCTTTTACGGTATTTGATTGTCAACTGATCATAATTTTTTCCTCTCAGATTTATGCAAGCAATGGAAAAAACGCATGGCGGTTTTGGTGCATAGTTAGATTTAATGGAATCGGAATGGTTTTTTTTCTAAATTAGAAAAAAATGCAATTACATACACGCAGGAAGTCCTAATACGTAACTAAATATATCGTTGAGGTACGTTATGTATACAGATTTTCAAGAAAAATTGAAATTCGCATAATAAACTCTATTATTAACGTCAAATAAATTACATTTCACTAATTGATATTTAATTATTCAGTATTTAATCAAAATTCTTGATAGAGTGTAAGAAAATATTTCATATCATTTTTGTGTTGAAACAATTAATACTGTGCATTAGTAAATACTGTATGATCGAAAAAAAAACTGCGTTCAGTTGGCTTGGAAATGAACATCAATGACATTCTCCATATAAAATGACTTTGATCTTTATTTCATAGGCATTGCTGACGCCGTTTTTTTCAATCATTGGCATATAAGAGTCATCGGTATATAAATCGTGATTTGTTAAATGGGGGCATCAGACTTTTCTCAAAACTTTGTTCCCTGACTGCCCATTTGACAAATCACGATTCATATTAGAGGCTTCTTGAGTGACGTAATTGAGCACTAAGGGGCGGTTTTTGGAAATTCGCCCTCTAAGGGCGTGATGATATATACAAAATAATAAAATCTGTCTTAGCAGTATAAAATTTTGCACAGAGGTCCCTCATGTGGCGTATTTGAACAGTCAGAAGCTATTTTTGGAAATTCATCACCTAATGGGAGTGAAATTTTGTATAATTTTCTTTAAGATTAGTCCTATGAGTTTCAAATTTTGTGCAGAGGTTTCTTAAGTGACGAAAGTGAGTACTTTTTGAGATGAATTTTGAATTTGAATGTTGTATACAAAAAAGTTAAAATCACTCCTAGCAGTATGAAATTTTGCCTAATTGAGCGATTAGGCGATTTTCGGAAATTGATCTTCTAAGGGGGTGAAACTGATGGTGAAATTTTGTATATATTTTTTTTAAATGAATCCTCTGGGTATTTTGTATAGATGTTCCTTAAGTGGCGAAAGTGAGTACTTAGAAGCGATTTTTTGGAAATTTACCTCTTAAGAGGGTGAAATAAGGGGTGAAGGTCTCAAAAATTTGTTAAAATCGGTTTTAGAAGTATGAAATTCTGCGTAGAAGTTCCTTGGGTAATTTAATTGAGCACTAAGGGGCGATTTTTAGAAATTCGCCTTTTAAGGGTGTGAGATGAGGGGTGATTGTTCAGAAAAGAATATTTTTTAGGAGTAGTCCCTTTATACAGAAGTCCCTTTTTTAAGTGAAGGAAGTAAGTACTCAGAAACAATTTTTTGGATATTCATCCCCTAAGAGGGTGAAGTTAGGGGTGAAATTTTGTACAAGTGAACTCTTGTATATTTGTATAAAACAATTTAATCGTTGACAGTCTGTTTGACGATTCATTTGACACATTTGAATTTGATTTGACATTTTGTGAATTTGTCAGTCTTTACTGAGTTTTTTTTATGTTATTTATTATTTATTCTACTACTGATAGTTGTTTAAAGGTAGTAAAACTAGAAAGAAATTGTAGCAGAACTTAAATTAATAGTGTGATTATTAGTATTAAAGACTCTAAAATAGTTAGTTGTGTAGCGTGCGGTAGATCTCGGCAAAAATCGAGTGAAATAATGAAACAACTTTTCGCTAGTAAGTGACTATATAATATACACATACGTGTAGTAAACCGATCATTTATGAAATTCACTTAAATTAACTAATTATATATTTTTTCTTGCATTTTTGCTTTTATTTACTATTTGTCAAAGATTAGATGTCAAAGAATTTAGATACGTCAATTTGACTTACCTGCTTCGGATGTTTGTGTTAATAAATAATTATTAAAACTTATCTATTTTTATTATAATAATATGTTTTTATAACAATTTTAATAACTACCAACATTTATTCACAACGTAAAATAAAAAAATTATTGAGTCTACCCTACATCATAGTTTTACATTTTTTAAATAAAATTAGAACGGCACTGATAAACCGGAATTTAAGTCGGCCATATTTGAGTCCCATCGCGGTGGACCTAAGATTTTTGATATGCTCCTTCCTTAGTCTTCTTATTCAAAGATTGTTGTTAAGAACAAGTGGAAATTTTTAGAATAAACTGAAAATTTTGACCGTTTTCGTGGGAAAAGCTATTTCAGAAAGTTGGCAACATTGGTACTGTGTATTAATAAATACAGGGTGGTCCGAATTGTATTCGGGAAACTTGTAACAAAGAAACTGTAAACAAAGTTTTTCTTTATATAAAAAATTCTTTACCGTTTTCTTTTTGAAAATATAGCAGCCAGAATTCTTGCCTTGAGAATTTTGTATTTAGTAATTTATTTTTATGTTGTGTAAAAATGACTTTTAAATAACGTAATTTAAAATTCGAGAAACTATATTTTTTTGGGGAACAGATTTGTGTGTCTGGAAACGTTCTCTCCCTTTTAATCTTTCTATAATTAGTGTTAATTTGTGAAGTTTTATGTCAATTTTTAGTAAATGACGTCTAGAGGCCAAAATTATCATCGATTGTCACTCCCCAGCCGTCTTCGACGCCCTTTTTTTTATCACACGGTACATTATTGTAAACTATGTATTTTAAAAAATCTATTGCATGAACTAAAAATACTGACTTACTTAGTTTGATTTTGTCTACCAGGCAAAAGCAAAACAACAAAAAGAAGGATCAAGGATTTGTTTAACTTACCCCAAGTCCAGTTCATCGTCAGTTTCCAACTCGCTAGCAGAGTATTCCATCCCCTGAAAAAAAAATTAAAAAAAACATTAAAAATTTACCTTAGCAAATAATCTTCGAGTTCTGGGTTCATTCTCAATCGCACCCAACGCCGCAATGAATGATTTTACTATATTATTATTAAATTACAGTCCGTTATAAAAAGGTTTTTGTCTTTTATGACGGTAAATGTGTAAGGCTCGTTTTCAATATCTAAATCTTGGCATAAAGAAGATTACGTTTTGTTATCAAACATTGCGGTATTTACTGAATAAATATGGAATTTTTCAGCGCGAAAAATAATATGTAACGAGCCGTGCCCGTGAATTTAAAATTTCGTCTCTTAATTACATGGTTTTATTAATAGTTCAAGAAAATATATCTTGGTTTGGTAAAAACTTGAATTTTTTATATAGATCGAGACCATTTTTATGTAAAATTTATAGCTCTACAACTTTTACTTGAACTTGGTCCTTATCGTTTCTCCGAAAATTCGAAATAAACATTTTTATCTATTTACTTCACCCCTTCTCGGGGGTAAATTTTAAAAAAAATCTTTCACATTCGTTTTTAGATCTTTCAAAGTAACTTATATCAAAAAGTCAAGTTTTTACCAAAACTTCGTAAGTATTTAAAGGCCTATTTTCTTGGACTATTAACAGGTGTACGAAAATTAATGGCGACCACAGCCGGTTAAAAACTCTGGAACAGTGCCTTCTATTAAAAGATCAGCCTACGGGCGAGATTTATGACGTCACGCTAGTTAGATATAACGGATTAATAAATATGTTGCAGAATACATGGAAAACATAATTATTCTTCAGATTTTTGGTTTGTATTTTAAAAATGATATAGTTTACATGAAATATACATAATATACAGTTAATAACTACAACATATATACCTATTTATAGTAATAAATACTTTGGCAAATAAACTATGATCCATACAAATGCAGCTAATGTTTTACAATGTACAAATAATGTATAGGTACATAAGATAATGGGTAAAATGTAAATATATAGGTTTGAAAATCGATCTAATTTAACAAAAAACATTCAATATCGACTAATAGTGATGTATTATTATTTGCATTCACAAAATTTATATATATATTTTGCAAGTATCAATGTTCGAAAAATTATATTTACAAATAATACAATATTATCTAAAAAAGGCGTCAGCGATGGCTATGAAATGAAGATCGCTGGCATTTTATATGTAAAATTATTCTAAAATTTTTGATTTTCTTCGGATTTTTAGGTTCAGGGAAAAACGCTGATTTAAGTTTTCATTTGGGTTTTCATTATTTTTATTTGGTTTAAAAAACGTTTCAGGCTAACTATAGCCTTCATCAGTGTTGTGTCATATGAGAAAAATAGTGTCGAATATAATCCAAAAATTACATATACAATATAATTCACACCTCATAATGTTTACTGCAATTAATAAACTAATATAAACTTATCAAAAGATGACCGCATGTTTTTTAAAATTATTATTCTTAACACTAAAATTATCTATATTGACATTGACTATGGAGTACCCAGTAAACATTATGTGCGTGGTGTGAATATTTTATATGTAATTTTTTGGATTATATTCGACACTATTTTTTTCATATGACACAATACTGATGAAGGCTATAATGTTAGCCGAAACGTTTTTTAAACCAAAAAAATAATGAAAACCAAATGAAAACTTAATCAGCGTTTTTCCCGAACCTAAATCCCAAGAAAATCAAAAATTTAGAATATTTTAGAAACAAGGTTCAAGAATATCAAATTTTCCAAGATTGTAAAATTCTAGTTAATTATTTTATGTGTACAGTTATTTAGGGGAATGTCATCGATGTTCATTTCCAAGCCAACTAGACGCCGATTTTTTCGATGATACGGTATAATTCTTACGTAAAATGTAAATAACATTAGACCAATTAAAACAAAGAAATATGAATTTCTTAGTATTTTCAGTAACACCTTTATTCTTAAAACTTAATTTTGTATGATGCAAATATACCAATTTTATTGTTATTTTATTCATATTGTATTCAGCCATCACTTAAATATTTGATATTAATTTGGTATTATAAATATTCAACACTATTCATTAAAAATTACTGAAGAAATATATGTTATGCTTGACATACATTATATATTATCAAACAAAAACACATTCTTCTTTTAAACTGTATCAGTCTTGTCTTTACAAAAATCTTTTTTAAAATTTGAACTAAAAATAATAATCTTTTTCGTGATCTTTAATACACATATTCTTTATTTTTCCCTAGATCATAATACCTACTTACGTGTTTGAATCTATCGAAGCTGAACCAACAACACTTGGAGTGGAGATTCCACAATATGAATAAAATAAACATAGTTGTCTAGTTTTCATTAATACCATCATGGGAGAATATTATTTTTAAATTTATTAAAGATATTTTCAATAGAATTCTCTTGATTTATAATTCGTACCCACTTTTCTTGCTCTTCCGGACACTTTAGGCTGCCTAATATAACTATCCTTTCCACCAGGAACACAACAAAGATGAAGCATAGCACCAAAAACACACTCCACTTAAGCTTTATTGATGAATTGTTAGAGTCTTAAAAAACACACACAAAAATCACGATAAGTAAAAAATGTATGGGCACTTTTAGGTTAAATCACTTACACAACGTGTAATTTTTCAATTTTTCTATTTTTTTATGCGAAACCGAGAGTTACCATATATCTGGTAGTAGTTTATGTCACTTAAACACCAAAATAATCAGTTTTTTGCACTATAATAATATATAATACCAAAAATCAAAGAGTTAAAACCAAAAATCAACCGACAAAATATGAAACGGAATCTAACCCAATATCTAAGTATGTACAGCTGATGAAGTAAACAAAAGTCCGCCCCTAGGCTGATCTTTTAATAGAAGGCACTGTCTGGAAATTGGCAATAGAAAATCGTGCAAAATAAAATGTCACGGTAAAGGCATAAAACAAATTTATGGCAAGATTTTTAACTGTCCCACGATTGCTAGGCAACCATTAGTTTGTTTACGCGGGTTTATTTAGATAGATTCAGATTTTCTAATTTGTGTGGATAATAGTCCAGTAAATAAGGACACGAGAAACCCAAGTCTCGGCGCAATTCGTCTACCTTTACTTTTTAGGCGGATTGTGTACCTTTTGGGGAGTAGTTTTAGGGGGGAAATTGTAATACCGAAAATGGCCCCAAATGGCCGAAATTTTTTTTTCGCAAATATCTGCCAAAATATGCAATTTACATAATTTTTCGTGGAATAAAAAATGAAGCTTAGGTAATCTATAAAATTAAGGTAATAGGTAACATATAAAATCCTTAAGTGACTGACATACTGATTAATCACGATCCTGTCCAAACCACTCAACGTAAGAAGCTCAATTTTGGCATACAGGTTGATTCTAGGGTGTAGAGATTCGATAAGAAGGGATTTTTCTAAATTCCAGTTCTAAGAGGGTGAAACCAACCCTCAAATATTAAATATTTTTTATTTAAAAAACGGTCAAGTTTCCGAAAAAATCGCTTAAACACGTATATTTTATTTTGTTTTTTACATATTTTAAGATTTTTTAAAAATGTATACAGGGTGTTTCGAAAAATCTGGTCATTGATTAATCACGATCCTGCTTAAAGCGCTTGACGTAAAAAGCTTATTTTTGGAAAACAGATTGACTTTAGGGTGTAGAGGTTCGATAAGAAGGGATTTTTCGAAACCCGAATTCTAAGGGGGTGAAACTATTCCTAAAATATTAAAATATTTTTTATTTAAAAACCGGTGAGTTTTTCGGAAAAACTCTTAAACACGTATATTTTATTTTGTTGTTTTACATATTTTAAGATTTTTTATAAATTTATACAGGGTGTTTCATAAAATATGAATAAGTTTGCTTGACGTTTAAAGCTGATTTTTGGCAAACGGATTGACTGTCGGGTGTAGAGGTTCGATAAGGAGGGGTTTCTCGAATCTCAAATTCCAAGGGGGTGAAAACGCCCCTCAAATATTACAATATTTGTTATTTAAAAAACGGTTAGTCTTTCGGGAAAACGCTTGGACAAGCATAATTTATTTGGTTTTTTACATATTTTGAAATTTTTAAAAAATCATACAGGTTGTTCCAAAAGTTGGGTAATTTCTTAACCACGATTCTGCTTAAACTGCTTGAGGTAAAAGCATATTTTTGGCAAACGGATTTTCGAAAGTCAAATTCCAACGAGATGAAACTACCCCTCAAATATTACCAAGTTATATAATAACATCGCCATATTGTTTTTTCTCATGCTGACATAAATGTGAGAAAATTTTATCCAGTTTGTATGTTAATGGAAATTCTTGCTTTGCTTGTGTATTTTGCTTTAGCTCAGAGCCATTTACAATACGGTATTGTGGCCTGGGGCTCAGCAAGCAAAAATCAATTATCAAGTGTAAATATAGTTCAGAAATGGTTGCTGAAAATAATATACGATAAAAACTATAGATATCCCTCTGATGCCTTATACATAGAAGCAGCCATTTTTGACGCTAAACAATTATTTTGGTTTAATACATTATCTATAACATTCAGCAACAGAAGTAAAAATAATCTAATCCCACTTTCATACCCACTACGTCGACGCGAATTAACTATTAATGTACCTCGGATGCATAAAACTATCGGACAAAAAAGTCATTTATATGTAGGACCTAAAATTTTTAATGTTTTACCTAAAGAAATTGTTAATTGTCAAAACATTAATATTTTTAAAAAAAGATTAAAAGAATGGATACTTGGTAGAACATTAACCGAAATGCATACATTTATACTCAGCAAAATGTGAAATATTAAAAACCATTCACAATAAATATAATATTTGAAAAAAAATAATGTAATCTTATATGCCTTAGAACTTGCAATCTACCCTATGTCAATATCTGACCGCTGTGTAATAACTTGTTTTTTAGCGTGCTTAAGTGTTGGACAATGAAATAAATTAATTTGATACATTTAGATATAGTTTAAGAATTTAGAATAAAATATTGTAGTTATTGTTGTAGAAATAAAACTCCTCAGACAAGGTTCTACCTTATGAGGATATTATGTTTATTCACTATTTTGTATTCGTAAGTTATGTATAAGTCTTGTATATACTTTGTAATTGGATCAGTTTGAATAAACATTATTTATTTATTTATTTATTTATCATCACCATTACAAATGATTAATTCGACGCGAAAGAAGTCGCTGGTACACGCTAGTTATCTATAAAACTGGTCCTTTTGTCATATTTTATGATAATAAAAAAATGCATTCATTCAAACATTCTTTGGCCCAAAAATTTTCAGATTTTTACAAACTTATTCATATTTTCACTAATAATGGCTTATTTGTCAAGATTTTAGGCAACTCAGAAAGTTTGAAGCATTTGTTTAATCACATTTTAATAAAAAGAAAACTATTCGTGAGTGGATTTTTCCGCTTTTTGGGATTTCCCGAAAGTGTCGCAAAGAAATGAAAATTGCATAATAACTCTATAAGTAAGAAACATCAATAAGAAGTTGGAAATCAATGATAAAAGTTCAAAATTACCTGCAATATCACCATAGAAACGCATTTTGGGACTTATTTTCGTGTTTTTTTATTTTCTCTAAAACGGCATGGAAATTTGGAAAAGAATCAACGGAATTATCTATTTTAGAACACACAAAATTTTTTTATAAAAAATGCATTTTTCTCAAAATGTCAATAATAAAAAAGTTTTTTTCCTCTTGTAAAGACCCATTCGGGGACATACCGTATATTAGAATTAATTAATAATACATATTTTATTTAGATAATTGTAAAGTAGTATTTAATTACTCTGATATTATAACAACCTACCTCAACACGAATATTTTCAATGCCATTCACGTGACGATCCACCGACTCACACAAACTCAGCGACCTAGTTATCCTATTCTTGTTCATTTTCATTTAATTTCTTTTCACTTACAACTACAATTACACTATACTAACTTTGTCTTTCTTTTTAATTAAAAAACAAATTTTTGAACACAAATGTTTTTTAAACTAATTTACAATTTACACATAAACACATTAGTTTGTTTTCATTTTTTAAATTAAGGAAAAAAATGTTTTTTTTGTTGAAAATGATTTATATCAATAATTAAAGTTCTTTTCAGCAGACACCCTGTATATTGTCTTAATAGTATAAATGGTATTAATTACTAGATTAATGACTTAATAAAATAAACAATATTAAATAGAAATATATTAAAAAAATAATAAAGAAAACAGACAATTTGTTTAATTCTAGTATGTAGATATAATTAAAATTAAATTTGGTTTACTGATTTTTAGGTGTGTTGCCTTTGTTGGGTGTAAGTTCAAATGAAATTAAAAAATAAATTATTTTTTATACTTAATAATAATAAAATTTAAACCATTTTTTGAAGGACATCCAAACAAAACAACACACGTGGACTATGACACAAGCACCATATTATTAAAAACAACTTTGCGAGAACGTTACTTTGTTGTTATTTCTGTTATTTCTTCACCGACTAACCGGTATATCAGTACTTGATCGTACTTTGACCAAATACATATTAATATATTTTATCTAGATTTCTTCTTTTTTATGGGACTATTAGTAACTATTAAAATAATTTTGGTATGGTGGGAATTCGAGTGCGATAATATTATGTACAATTAAGTCCATTAAAAATAACCTGTTTGTATTTTTATTTCGTTGGATACATTTTATTGTAGGTGTTAAAATAGGTATAAAATACCATGCGTTTTTCCGGGATAGTATAATGATTTTTCAGGATTCAGGATAACTTTCCTAAATCCGGAATTTTCCCGGAAATTTTGGACGTCTGGCAACCCTATGGTGCGTCTCAAAAGTGGCCCATCCCTATAACTATTTTATTTTTTCAGATAAAAAAACGAGATTTTGTATGTTAGTATATGACATAAATTAGGATTGATTGACGTATTCAATTGTTTTCGGTGATTTCCTGTTTCACCGGAAATGACTACAACTTTTGAATTTTAAATGGCACACTTGGTATATTTTTACATTATTCGATTGAAAATGACACTCTGAGTAGAATGACATATCATTTATCAACTTTTGTCACTTTCGCTTAAAAAAATCGTATTTTAAATTTCAATCTAGAGTGCCATGGCTGTTACGGAGCTTATTTTATGTTATTTATTATTTATTCTACTACTGATAGTTGTATAAAGGTAGTAAATCTAGATGGAAATTGTGGCAGAACTTAAATTAACAGTGACTCTATCGCAATTTATCGAAAAAGACTCTAAAATAGTTGGTTGTGTAGCGTGCGGTAGATCTCGGCAAAAATTGAGTGAAATAATGGAACAACTTTTCGCTAGTAAGTGACTATATAATATACATACGTGTAGTAAACCGATCATTTATGAAATTCACTTAAATTAACTAAATTATATATTTTTTCTTGCATTTTAGCTTTTATTTATTACTTGTCAAAGATTAGATGTCAAAGAATTTAGATACGTTAATTTGACTTAACTGCTTCAGTAGCGTATCGGATGTTTGTGTTAATAAATACTTATTATAACTTATCTATTTTTATTACAATTATATATTTTTATAACAATTTTAATAACTACCAACATTTATTCACAACGTAAAATAAAACAACAAATTATTGAGTCTACCCCACGTCTACCCTACATCATAGTTTTACATTTTTTAAATAAAATTAGAACGACACTGATAAACCGGAATTTAAGTCGGCCATATTTGAGGCCTATCGCGGTGTACCTAAGATTTTTGATATGCTCCTTCCTTAGTCTTCTTATTCAAAGAATAAACCATATGCGAAAATGTCAAAAGTTGACATATGATATGTCATTCTATTCAGAGCGTCATTTTCTATCGAACAAAGTAAAAAATACCGAGGGTGCCATTTAAAAATCAAAAGTTGTAATAATTTCCGGTGAAACAGGAAGTGACCAAATACAATAATTGAACACGTCAATCAATCCGAATTTATGTCATATACTAAAAAATCTGAAAAAATAAAAAAGTTATAGGGGATGAGCCACTTTTGAGATGCACCCGATATATTTGACGAACTGTATATTGTTCTTTACCTGTACAAAATGAGATTGTTTTACCCTTGACCTTGATGAAATAAAACGTATTTTTTCTAAATTACTTTAAAACTGTTTAATTCTATTATTGCCATACACAGGGTGTTGATTAAGTATGTGGCTAAACATGCTGAAATCTAACTAATTACATTTTATTTATTTATTACTAATAAACGCAATTTTAAAACCCATTTAATGTGTTTTTGTTGATTTATATACAGGATGTCCCACTTAAGATGGATACAAGCCAATATCTTGATTGTTTGTTGAGCGATTTTTTTCATTTTTGACAGGGGGCTGTATGGCTATAAGACCTACATTTTTACGATAATAAACCAGTTGTTTATCCAGTGGCGTCGTAACTAATTAAAAAAATAACAATAAAAATAAAAATGTCTTATTTTAATAACACACCTTGTATCAATATGTATCAAAATTAGAACTTAAGTATCTTGGGTAAGGAGGATTCAATATAATTTATCAGATTTGAAATAAATACTGTCCTAAGGGTAGTTAACTTCTTTACTCGAAAAATATCAAACCCCATTAAAACGTACGCCTATGAGGTATCGCATTTCTTACCCTGGGCAAAATGTACGTCTTATAGCCATATAGCCTCCTGCCAAAAATGAAAGAGATCGCCCAACAAACAACCAAGATATTGGCTTGTATCCATATCTTAAGTGGGACACCCTGTATTTAAAACAGATTTTAATTTTTCTTTTAGAAGACGGCGATTGGAAATGAATACGGCCTTTTAGAGCACTAAATAGTGATATAGTGATCAAGAAGACACTATAGCTGGCTATATTGCCAATATAATATCCTTTATCGTTTATGAATTATCTCTAGTGAAAGTTCTTTCATTTCGACAGTAATCTGTTGTATCAATCAGCTCTGTTGAGAAATTATATTATGTCCAGATCAATCACCTGCAAGTGCAAGAAAATTTGCAGCTACTTATCAAAAATGCCAGAATGCGCACGCGTTGTAGGAAAAGTTGCTGCAGCTTTTCTTGCCTGCAGTTAAAATTACCAACTGTAAAACAGCCTTAAGATTTTTATTAAATCGTATACAACTTACTTGTCTTGGCTGCAGCGCTTCCAAATCTTCTAAATTAGGCATAGAAATGCTGTTTCTCCTATTGTATGGTGAGTTGGTTCTTGGTGGTTTTTCAGGTGGAGTTAGATCACCTTCGTTTTCTCCATTTCCATTCGCAGCAGTCGATCCCACCCAATGGCTTCCTATTCTAAGTAATATTCCTCCACCACATATACGCAGGCAGTATGCACTTTTTAGAGAATACACTAAAATTACTAACATGCCGCAACTGCCGATACATTTGGATGTCCATGACCTGGATTGGAACAGACTTCGTTCAAGACGTCCAACATTAACAACCGCAAGCAGCTTACACCGGGACGGTTTTAAATTAACGGAGTCATGGATTAGGGAATGGGAATCAGAGTTACCAGACCACGCCGGGAACATGCCGGCTATAACTCAGGCTTTGACATGCCACGTAAAACATGGTCTGCGTTAAACCGGACAAATCATGGGAGGTGTGCCGATTCTATGTTTAAATGGGGAAAGTCAGCTTCCCCAGAACGCGACTGCAACACCGGCAGACAAACTATCCGGCACATAGTAGAAGCATGCCCGTTAAGATCCTATTCCGGTCCCTTTGATGATTTCCTGGAAGCTACAGACAGTGCAGTCGAATACATCCGTAATTTGGATGTTTGTTTGTAATACTTGTTATATGTATATTCGTTTGTACAATGTACAAACGAATATGTGTATAATGTATAATGTACAATGTACATTTTAGACTCTTGTCAGACTATTATTATTGTTTGCACACATACTTGTTTCCTGCTCTTTACTTCTACAGTGATTGTAATTCCATGTTTTGTTGTGATGTTTAGCCATACGATAGATAGATATAGTAATGAATTTTCGTACAGCAATGTTTCATACTCCATTCTTACTCCCTAACAATATGAATTTCCTAAATTCGCTTTGTCCAATTAATTAACTGTCTTTTAAAAGATCCTTTGTGCCAATTTTTAGATAGTGTATAATACAGAGGTCTCGTAGTTTTATATAAATTTTCACTAACTTTGTTGAGGTTGACGAATTTCAAATATCTCTTAATTGTTTCTGTAGAATTTCATTCTTCTAGACCAGATAGTAAGGAATTTTCATACAACGCACTTTCCGACATAATTTTACTCTCTAAGAGGAAATAATGTCATTTAAAAGAACCTTTGAACTAATATTTATGTGTCTAAAACCAGCGGTATCAACTGACCCCTAAAATAACTAAAACTGATAACTAATCTAACTGACACACCATTGACAATGACGAATAATTATTGATTTCTAAAGGTATAGTGTGGCAGGTGTGTCTTAGGTCTTACATAAAGAAATAACGATCCAGCTATATGAAAATATTTCATAAACAATCTGCAAATATTATATATTTAAAAAACGAATCATCAAGATTGGTGAAGCGGTAGCCGTGGGATGGATGGGTCAAAAAAAATTTTGAGCTTACTTAAATAGCAGTTTACTTAAATTTAGCTACAATAGTTTAATACTTATTAAACTTCATTATTCATTATTTTATCAAGAAAAATAAACCAGTATCTGCTGGTGGAACGAATGGAAATGTTACTAGTGATTTTCTTTTGCGAGGAAAATTGCTTCTTGGCCTCAAGAACCTATGCTCAAAGATATCCAAATAGGAATCTTCCTAATAAGCGTTCCTTGAAAAAATACTTTTCTATTTTGCAGAGCTATGGTAGTGTGGTTTATAAAAAACCTATTAGGCAGAAACTACACTAACACTATAAGGCTACACTATAACCATATATCTAAGACTATAAGTGATCGTAAAATAAATGAGAGAACTACTTCTTCGTTTTTCTTTAAAGATTAATAAATACATATTTAATAAATATTATTTATTAAACGACTGTAGGCAAATTAAATAAAAGTAAACTGCCTATACATTTAAATAAAGTCCATAAACTAATTTTAATTTTGAAAATAGCTACTGACTGTCACTAGGAACTTGACATCAGCCATCTTGGTTCCCATTTGATTGAAAAATGGCTCTTTATTCAAAATCTGAGCTAGATAGGTATAGGAAACCCTAATATAGTTTGAAAGAGCATTTAAATCTGCTTCGATTTATTTAAAAAATACAGAGTGTTGTATTTGAAATAACAAAGTTTTTATGTAAAATAAATATTTAAAATAGACCAGCAATTTTTGATACCCCTGTATACATTAAACAAAGCAATTAAATTTTTCAGTAAATTTTATTTCTCTGGCTTAAAAGTCAGCACAAGAATTAATTCTGAAAAGCAATGTACAGGGTGTTAATAATCTATTCTATTGTAGCATGCATTTTTAAATATCTTTAAGTATCGCAAAAACCAAAGATTTTAAACATATTTAACCCTTATAATAAATACCTTTTTTTGGGCCCAAGAATCAAAAAATGAAATAAAATACAGGGTGTTCCATAAGAAAACATATAACGTTGGTATGGGTCTTAGTTCTGAAACACCCTGTATATTTTAAAATAATTTTAAATTGTGCATATTGCCTTCCCACATATACTCATAAAATATTTTGTTTCTACATCTTTCCGTTTTCGTATAATCAACCGAGGCGAATGAAGTGCGCCACCCTGTATACTTTTACATATTGTTTATCGAATTTAGGTATATATAGATATTAAAAAATAAACATGTTCGTCAGACAATACGTCTAATAATTTCCTTCTTTAAGGTTTTATTTGCATTAAATTACTCAAATTACTATTTATTTAAAGATTTTCTATGTCGAAAGTGCCTCTAGTAAAAATCTATTAAAGAGTGCAAGTGTAAGACCACGACTGGGCCCTGCAAGATCAAGACTACATATTAACTGCAAGACAAATACCAAGGGAGTCTTGGTCTTGCATTCGCTCATGCCGAGATCTACCGCACGCTACACAACCAACTATTTTAGAGTCTTTTTCGATAAATCGCGATAGTGTCACTGTTAATTTAAGTTCTGCCAAAATTTCCTACCTTAGATTTACTACCTTTATACAACTATCAGTAGTAGAATAAATAATAAATAACATAAAATAAGCTCCGAAAGACTGACAAATCCACAAAATTTCAAATCCAATTCAAATGTGTCAAATGAATCGTCAAACAGAACTGTCAAGGATCCCCACCCTAGAGTCCTTTTTCCGCCCACCATCCATGAATACATGGATAGCATTATGCTCCTTCCTTAGTCTTCTTATTCAAAGTATAATTCTAACAGTGACAGTTACTATCTGTCATTTCAAATCAAAGGTAAATAGATTTTCTCATTTCTCTGTGAATTCTTGGATATCGTTTGTGGGGATATAAGATATTAACAAGTCATAACCAGTCACCAGTCACTAATCATTGTGTCATAAAAAAACAAATATTTGTTTACATGCATCTGATTTCTTATTTCATACCTTAAACTCTCTTTTGACATTTTTATCTTTAGACTGTTCACTAACACTATCAAATCACTTTTAAATACATTTTAACCAAAACATCACAAAACAACCTGTTAGTAGGTAACACAACATTAAAAAGGTTACATGGTTATAATAATTGTATAACTTCGTCACCTGAAACCATTGTTTAACAAACTGATCTCGTGCTTAAGCATTATAATCGAAGACTAGTATGGTAATTAAAATCGGTAACTGAATATGAATGAATGTAATACAACGATTATCGTTTTTTCTGCTTGAGTAATTACGTACCTAGGTACTATAAACAGAGGTTGTTTAGTTGACATCTCCATCATTATATGCGTATTTAATTAAACAGTTAATAGATACATTAAAAGCGGTGTTAACACAGATAACTTTTAAAAACGAACCCCATGAAATTACTATATGAATTCCATCATCATCATCATCATCATTCTCAGCTTATTCAACCATTTCCATTAATGGTATAGGACCTTCTTGCCAGGTGTCCTGCCATTGCCACTTGAGGGATTTGATTCTCTGGCTGACATCTATTACCTGGATCTTTATCTATTCTTTTACGATCTTTCTTGGTTCATCATCATCATCATTTAGCTTATTCCGTCCACTGCTGAACAAAAGCCTCACTTAACTCTAGCCATTTCTTTCAATTTTGTGCCACTTGGATCCAGTTTCCAGCCTCTCTCTTAATATCATCTGTCCATCGACTAGGAGGTCGTTCTCTGCTTCTATAGGCCTCGTGTCTTAGTCTCCATTTCACAAGTCTCTTTGTCCACCGTCAGGGCCGTCCTTAGACTGTTGGCCGCCTGGAGCAAGCCCGAAAAAATGCAACGTAATAGCCACATTACCTTCCTTTGTATACCGAACGACTCTAGTATGGCAAGCTGTACCTTGCTACTCCCAAGGCGTCAAACGCTATATACGGGAGCTATTATTATAATTTTGAAGATGTAAATATTTGGAAAGTTTCCAATCAGATCGTGAATTTTTAAATATTTTAGTGTTTGTTTTGGACAACTGAGGTTTTCGGCATTATCTGGTAGTATTAGAGCAATTAGAGCTAAAATCTCATCCTGAAGCTCTAGGCGATTAATATCATGTTTGTCTCCGTCCGTTAAATAGAGATGAAGATCCATACAATGCTTTGTTATTTCCTCTCAGTTGATATCCTGAGAACTGTGAGGTCGTATAAAAACGAAAAATAGTCCGAGTGAGCTTTTAACAGGTCAAACCTTTCCTGGAGAGCCTCATGGATTGTATCCAGGACAACAAAGAAAAATTCGAATTTAAACTTTTCCTGTGGATCTAAAATTAGCTCATCCACTGATTCATACAAAAACGGTCTAGTTTTTTTCTGAGATGAGCTCCAATGTCATTAGTGAAAACTGCTTCAATTTCCAGCTCTTCTGCCAGCTCTCCAGCATCCACTAATATTTCTCTAAAATGGTCGTCAGTCCTTATTTTGACAAAATAGTCGTCGATAGCTTTTAGAGCTTTTGTGGACTCAATGATGTCGAGTTTCTCATTTTGAAGCAGTTTACTAGTTGCATTTATACCTACTGTTGGAAATTTCGTACCGAAAATGACCATTTTTCCAAAATGTAGTACTGACATACCGAATTTGGTCAAAATGTACCGAATTCAGTACAATTAATTATACCGAAACGCCCGCCCTCAAATTTGGCCGCCTAGAACAACTGCTCCTCTGTTCCACCCCTCAGGACCGCCCTGCCACCGTCCATCTGTTATCCTAGCCACATGTTCTGCCCAATTTCATTTA